GTCTTTCATCATTTAAGTTATCTTGCTCTAGGTGTAATCTCATCACTTCCACCCAAGTGTCGATGCATCCATCGGAGTCGTCTTTGAATTCCTTTGGCTTCTTGAAAGTTTTTCTTGATTTTCAGTCCCTCCTATCGCTCGAGTCAGTGTTCCTCGTGGCGAAGGCATCTAGAGTCCTGTTCATCATCTCCCAAGTGCTTGCCCATGTCATAGCATCCGGACCTGCGTTGCTGTTAGCTGTTGAGTCCCCCGGGCCAGTCGTTGTACCCGACGTTCCATTCTTCATGATTGTTTTAGCAGCTGTTGGTGCTATGCTCACCGTATCCCGGGTTAAGGGCAACGGTGTCGATTGTCGTTTGCCCCTTTGTGGTTCCACAAAGTCAACTCTGGTGCCTTGCGTGCGATCCGCTGCCGGTCTTTCTTGTGAGGTAGAATTTCTCAAGATTGCATCCAATTTCGTCTGTATTGCACATGAACTTTCGGCCTGATTTTTGCTCATTGTGTCCATTCTCTTTTCCAGGCTACCTAATTGGCTGTTGACATCATCATATCGGTTTTTCAACTGTTGCATATCTTTTTTGATGTTCTTATCTCGTTCTTAATTGGTGGCTTCTACCTTATCTGACATCTCCTTGAGTCTCTCATCTGTTGCCTTAGCCAGGTTAAAATAACTGTCCAGATAATCGTGTTTGTTGTATCTTAATTCTTTTCTTATCACTTCTCTGTCCTCTTCGCTGTGCTTCAGTTTTTTGTCGATCTGATTCAGTTTCGCCATCAAGTCACCTAGCTCAATAGTAGCCTCTTCATGGTCAGCCGTCGGTCTGTCTTCGGCCGTAGCTTCTGCTTTATTTTGTTCCTCTCTTGGATTGGCTTCTGTCGTCTTCGTGCTCACTGTCCCAAATGTTCGTGCTCTTTCAGCTTTTGGTTCTTCAGTGATGTTTTCTTTAGTTTTTATTCCGACCATCATCGCCAACCTTTCTGTAAAAGATGTCTTTTTTACTTGAGAGTCTTCTTTCACCGTTTCTTCGGTGTTGCCTATTGCATCTTCCACATTGTCTATTGGTGAGAACTCTATGGGTTTCGGGTTTGGTTCTTCTGCATTGGGCATTGGATAAGACTCCGTCGTCTTTTTCTCCAGTTCATCTACGCTCTGGTCTGGTGTCTATAGGTCGATTTCGATTGTAGGCTCCACCTGTTTTTCCCTCGCATCTTCTCGCGTCTTGCTCTCGGTGCCACTCCTCGTGCTGACCATGCTAACTGAAAAGTTATTTTTTGTTTTGCCTGGGCCCCTTGATGTCGTTCCACGCAGCGACGAGTTTTATTTCGTGTTTGATCCACTTGACCTTTTTTCAAGCACCGGTACCCTACTCCGTCTCATTATTTCTATTTACAATTGCCCTTATTTACAATATTATTATATACACAATTATATTCTAAGAATAAAAAATTTTGTGGAAACAAATTCTTAAAAGAAAATATACAACGTGATAAAAACCTTGTTCCAGTTCTCTAAAATCTTCGAGTAACTTTCTTTATTTGTGGTCCCAACCGTACCGGGTTCCAATTAGTCTTGTTCTGTCTTAATTCTGTCTTAAAACAACTTGTTGTAATTTTACTTCAATTTTTATACTGTCCTAAGACTTCCAGTTACCGTCCCTACTCTTCTTTGTACCGTCCCAGGCTTCTTTCTACTGTCCCAAGACTGTTCGGTATTGTCCCAGTACTTCGTCAGTGTCCCAAGACCCTTGTCTTGAGAGTACTATCCCAAGGCTACTGTCCCAAGGCTAGTGTCCCAAGACCAGTGTCCCAAGACTACTGTCCCAAGGCTAGTGTCCCAAGACCAGTGTCCCAAGACTACTGTCCCAAGGCTAGTGTCCCAAGACTACTGTCCCAAGGCTAGTGTCCCAAGGCTAGTGTCCCAAGACTACTGTCCCAAGGCTAGTGTCCCAAGACTACTGTCCCAAGACTACTGTCCCAAGAATACTATCCCAAGGCTAGTGTCCCAAGACTACTGTCCCAAGACCACTGTCCCAAGACCCTTGTCCCAAGACCCTGTCCCAAGACCCTTGTCCCAAGACCACTGTCCCAAGACCACTGTCCCAAGACCCTTGTCCCAAGACCCTGTCCCAAGACCCTTGTCCCAAGACCACTGTCCCAAGACCACTGTCCCAAGACCCTGTCCCAAGACCCTTGTCCCAAGACCACTGTCCCAAGACCACTGTTCCAAGACCCTGTCCCAAGACCCTTGTCCCAAGACCACTGTCCCAAGACCACTGTCCCAAGACCACTGTCCCAAGACCACTGTCCCAAGACCACTGTCCCAAGACCACTGTCCCAAGACCACTGTCCCAAGACTGTATCAAGACTGTTCTGGTCCAACACTGTCCCAGGACTTCTTTGGCACTGTCCCAAGACTGTTGACAAGTGTCTGAGCGGTGGGACCTCTTTCTTCTTCGTTATGGGGACTTCTTGATTCACTGTACCTTGTACCACCACTCAAGCTCTAGTAAAATTTTCCCAAAAACCCTCTCTTAAAAGCCAAATGCTGACCCCCCTTTTTCTTATTTCTTTTTAATTACCTCTCTTTCAATGTTCCAAGCAACTTGAGACCAAAACCTGTGCGCAGGTATCTTGTGATCACCTGTTCGTATAAAAACTAAACACAAATCCTCACCAAAATGCAACAAAAATCCAAGCTAGAAAAAGTAATAAAAACGGAAAGATGAGCGCACCTAAAATTCAAAGGTGACAAATGTCTACCTTCTATCGAAAAAATGTCTGGTACCTAATTGCCACGAGTTTCCTTCCCCCCTGCTAGCGATCTTATGGGGTATCACAAAAACTGTCTATGTCCGTTCCCCCCTACCGATCCGACCAGGGTACCTACCTTAATTTTGGATATCCGCTTCCTATGACCAACGCGTGTAAATGACTAATGTAACTAAATCAACGATGTCGACTAATTAGTTACTCTAATTTCCCCCTTTTTACAATTTACAACCGCCAACCTCTAACTTAACCAGCCCCCCTTCTAACCTCCCCCCTTTTTAGCCCCCCTTCTTTAGCCTAAAATTACCTTAAGCGCCGAGTGCTAAACCTCTCAAGAGAAAACCGTAGATCTGTCTCCAGGCCTGCTCAAGTAAAAACGTTTCTCAAAACCGGGGGATATCGCTTATCCAATTTTACACTTACTTCCTATAATGTAATGTGAATTTTAACGATACCCATTCTGCCCAACTTGAAAACTCGAGAACTGCCAAATCCTTCTTGGCTACTTTCCCACTCGACTGGTCACCTCTTCCAGTCCAGTCTCCTATTGGTTCAGCTCAAGTGCTCCTGAACCACTTTCCCACTCGGCTGGTCACCTCTTCCAGTCAAGTCTCCTATTGGTTCAGCTCAAGTGCTCCTGAACCACTTTCCCACTCGGCTGGTCACCTCTTCCAGTCAAGTCTCTTATTGGTTCAGCTAAGTTCCAAGCTATCTGAAAACCCTTGACAACGCCCCACACTCGGGCTCTTTATTAAGGTTACTGGGTTAAATTACTAGGTTGATCGAAACGATCGAACTTGTAAAACAGTATGGGCATACTATTTAATTAATATAAAGGTTTGATCCAACTAATCTGGTGTCAAAGTCACTGTCTTTTTTCGTTTTATGGTTTTTGTTCCTTTTTCTATTCTTTTTTGGTTTTTGTTTTGCTTTTTGTCTTTTTGCTCGTGTTTTTGTCCCCCTAGTTGCCCCCTTTACTCGGTTAGCTAAGCCTCGTTCGGAGAGCGTACCAGGAAGTTTTCTCGAGTTTTCTTAAAAAGCTATCACGGTACAACCGGAAGGTTTGCACGTTCCTGTCGAACCGCACCGCCGGTACTCTAGAATGGGCATTCAGCCCGAAGCTGTCTCAAGTGGGTTCGACTCCGTAGTCTTGATGTCGTAAACACCCAGGAGCGCCATAAAAACACTATGTAACATTCGTCTACTATAGTCACACATGAGGCTTAAGAAAAATAGGCCCTATAACTATTGGCTCAAGAGTCAGGGACACTATCTCTTGTGTTTTTCTACCTCAAATCAGTCGGAGCCAATTCGGTTCGTTTGTGACATGAGACTACGACCCGTTACAGCTTAAAGGCTACTACTAAAATATCCCCCACTCTAGAATTAAGAACGTCCTCATACTTAGGTCTCTAGATACCCAAAATACATGAACGCCGTTAAAAACCGGGTTGGAACAATCCGTTACGTTACTTTTTATTAGACAGTGGAACTTTGATCCATTTCAGATGGATCAACCTAAAACTCGCCTTACCTCAACATAACAATTATAAAACACACTCTAGAAATTTAAATTAGTACTCACATTGTAGCACGCTCAAGAAAGGGAAGTACTTCAGTCGGTAATTAACTCGAGAATTAAATAATGTAACTAAAATGAGTTTAATGTTTGTCAGCTTTAACAACAAGAACAAGTTTGTACTCTAGACTATAGTTTCTCGTGAACCATTGGGACACTCAAGCTGTCCACCTTTCCACCGAAGGTTCACTCTAGTCCAGTTCAGAATAATACTCCAGTCAAGTCACAATAATCCAGTTCGTGGGAATACGCTTCTTTCTGTTTCGAATGGGACAGCTCTACTCTAGATTATTACTGTGACGGAAATTGCGAATAGCAATTACCTACTGATTTATCTTGCAACTTTCCCGCGATTGTCACTCGATTGTTCTGACTTCTCTTTTTTTTTACTTTCAGTTATCGCGAGAAAATCGTGCATGAGAGGCTCCATTCGAATTTTTGAAAAATTAAATTTCACCCCAAAATTAAGTGTTTTTTGCTTCTCTCAAGGTCAAACTTCCAAATATGACCGACTGGCACAATACTTTACTCTTCGCTAAAAAATTCCTAGGATTTTGACTGAAATATGCGATGAGGGGAATCCTGACTGTAACCTCGGTTACTCATACGTTTGACCTTCTGGAATCAGGTCTTCGAATAACCAATTATTTTCAGAGAAATGACACGAATAACTATCAAAGGAGGTGTATGGCGGAATACAGAGGTTGGTTCACGAGCAATTTAATGTATTAATTATCAGTAGCGTGACTCCAAATAACGTAATATTTTTAAGGATGAGATTCTCAAAGCGGCTGTTATGAAGTATGGGCTCAATCAGTGGTCTCGAATTGCCTCTTTGCTTCATCGAAAATCAGCAAAGCAATGTAAATCAAGATGGTTAGTTTTCAATTTTTAAATCTGATTGGCTTTATTCCCAACCATTTGACTCTTTTAGTTTTATTTACGTTACTTTCCCTTTTTATGAAATCTAATGGTTTTGTGACAGGGTGAAATGATGAAGGAGTTTTGAAGTAAGCTCGGTTACCATGATAATTTCTGACCTGATTTATCATTATCATTGCGATACGCAACGGTATTGCAATCGGGTACTTCGCTTTCTTCCCCGGAAATAACTTTGTTCACAGGACTCTCTTTTCATCTGGACTCATTTCCTGGAATCTCCTTTAAGCAATAGGTTTACCCCTACGATTAAATATTTTAAGTATCTGTCTTATACGAAAATGTTGGTTGTAATTTTACCAAATCGATTTGTCTTTTTTTCTTTTTTCGGCTTGTTTGGTTGCGGCGTAAATTATATCGTTTTAGTGATCTCGTTTGCGTTATATCGTTCGACGAGCGATTTTATTTTGCGTGTGTGTGTACTTCGAGGGTGAGGGGGACTTGATAACTTTTTCTTAGTCCTAAAATGTTTAATTTTTTTTCTGCTTTTAAATTTTTTTCGGCTTAATTGGTTTCGGCTTTTGTTTCATCGCCATAATAATTTTTTTGTGCGTGTCTGCTTTGAGAAGGAGGGAAGTGAACTTGATAATTTTTACTAGCCTTGTATTTTTTTCTACTTACCTTTTTTCGGCTTTATAGATTTTGGCTTATATTATATCAGTTTTATGGCCGCATATTCCGTCGTTCGACAAGCTGTGTGTGTGTGTGTGTGTGTGTGTGTGTGTGTGTGTGTGTGTATGTATGAGTGTGTGTGTGTTGTCAGGGTAAGGGTGACCTAATAACTTTTTATTAGTCTTTTTTGTTTTGGTTTTTGGCTTTTTTATGTTTGTTTTTTTCCCGCTAAATAGGTTTCGGCTAATACTGTCGGATTAGTGTCGTCATATTGTTTCATTTGACCCTAGAATAATGTTTGTGTGTTTGTGGGGGAAGGGGACTCAATAATTTTTTTTTCTAATTTTTTTCGGCTGAAAGGGTTTCTACTAAGATATTTTCGGCTTTGTTACCGCTTGATAAATTTTCTTTCGATGCTAATTTTATTTTCAATTGTCTTGACAAATTTTCGGTCGAAAACTAGGCTATTTTTTAAAAATAGATCTAGAGTTTTTGACATTTTCATCCTTTCGGTAAGCAAGGGTATTGCTATCGGGTACTATTTTTTTCCCCGTAAATAATTTAAGCACAGATTGGTCGAATGTGTAGGAATGGTAAGTTTTATACTTGCTCAATTTCTTGAAAACTCAAATAAAACTAGCTTTATTTAGGTAATAAATAGGTGTAGTCTGTTTCCGGTGTTAGTTTTTTTTGAATAATTTCCTTGAGAAAATGTAGATTTTTTTTCGGAAGCGTGGTTTTTGGTCTTGTTTCCGTTGCTTCATTTCGTTTTTTTTTAAAGTGAAATTTGTTTTATTTGGTATTGTTTTTTTCAGCTTTTTGGTTATTGATGGATTTTATTTTGATTTCCATTTTTTACTCTTGTTGGCATTTGATTAGTGCCGATTTTTAAATAATTTTGTTTTTATATAGTTTTTTTTCGATTAAACGGTTTCGGCTTTTGTTTTATGGCACTTGTTTTGAGAGAAATGAACGTAGTGAGTACTCTTATACAGGTTTTGGTGACTTTTTTGTTGTTCTTTTTTTTTAAGGAAAAGTCTTAAAACTTGTTCACGCTCAATTTTGATTTTCCACGGTTTGACTTTTGGCTTGTTTTTCACTCCAATTCATTGCCATTTTTAAAAGGAAGGCAAATGCCAGTATCGAACAGCAAGAATGAAAAGATCACGAAAAACGACTTCTAATTTCGAAAATTGAATTAATTTATCAGATTTCCGAGCGAAATAAAAATGTTACCTACTGATGCAGTTTTCTCAACTTGGGGTAGTTTTTATCAAAAAAAGCCCCAATCATAAAATGCTCGTGAAAGTCAAAGAGCTTTATGGCCATCATTTTTTTTTCTCGGAATTTCGATTGTTGAAGTTTTAAAAAAAAACAAATCACTTTGTTTTCCTTCTTCGCGTTCATTACTCTTTTTTAACTGTCATTTGGCTATATTTTCAGTATTTGAGCAATAGAAAAAAAAACGGTAAAAATTGAATTGTTTCGAACTTCCTTAACTCTGCTAAAATTTTGTCGGCTTAGTTGCCACACTACACATCTTGTTTCTCCTGTAAGCAACTCTCAATGGAAGTGAAAGTGTTATTGTTTTTAGGTTCAAGGAGATTTTTCCAAATCAATTTAGATTGTCGGCTTAGTTGCCACATCACTGATTTTCTTTTTTTGTGCTGTAGGCAACTTTCCTTGTAGTTGAAAGTGCAAGTGCTGTTCATTCTACTCTCAGGTGGAAGTTAAAACTAGAGATTGTTTTCTGAATTCATATTTTTTCTGCTCAACTTGTGTCTGCTCAAATATAGTCTTCTATGTGTCCTCTTCGTAAGTTTTTTTCCGTTGCTAATTGAATACTCAAACTTCTGGAATGGTCGCCTAGAAAGAACTTCTATCGAGACATACGAAAATTTAATTTATGGTAGAACTAGTTTTTTTCAACGTTTTCCATTTTTCCGACTTATGCTTTCATGTTTGTGTTTAATCGCAAGTGAAGCGGAGCGCCGCATCGCTTCTGTGAAAAAATTGGTTGTCCATAGTCTGGTCGTTTTCAATAATGATCGCTGAAGAGAAGTTATAGTTTAAACTTATGGGCGAACGTTTCAATTAAGGTACGAGTGGCTAGACCCGAGCATAAAGAAAACAGAATGGAGTCGTCAAGAGGATGAAAAGTTGTTGCATCTGGCTAAGCTGATGCCAACACAGTGGAGAACTATTGCTCCTATTGTCGGACGGACAGCTGCGCAATGCCTTGAACGATATGAATATTTGCTGTGAGTGATTAATGTTTTTCACAAGCGTTATACTACGCGGTACAAGAAAAAAATTGTCTGTGCATATTTTTTGGCAAATATTTAAGTTAGCATGCATACGAAAGCGTGAGCGGAACCTTTTTGATAAAACTCAAAACGTACTTCTTTTCCTTAATCTTTGATTAAAATTTTCTGTTTTTTGGTTTTGGCTATCGCCAGTTATTCAAAGTAATTTGAGCTATGGCCAGATCAATTGTCATCTTAAGTCAAGACTTTTTTTAATTTCAGAGATCAGGCTCAGAAGAAAGAGGGGGGTGATGATTCACATGATGCTCGAAAACTCAAGCCGGGAGAAATCGATCCAAATCCAGAAACAAAACCAGCCAAACCAGATCCAATTGACATGGACGAAGACGGTTAGAGAGTTCTTTAAATAAGTTTTCGGTAGCTTCACAATTTCAAGTTTTATCAAATTCAGACCGCAGTGAAATGGAGGGTTCCAAAAAGAGGCCAATTTCGTTTGTAATCTGACCGGAAGAAATTTTTCTGAAAGAGTTATAAAAGTAATTACGCTTTCTTTAAATTAAAAAATATTCAGAATTGGAGATGCTATCTGAGGCGAGAGCAAGACTGGCAAACACACAGGGTAAGAAGGCGAAGAGAAAAGCACGAGAGAAACAATTGGAAGAGGCGCGACGTCTCGCTTCTCTGCAGAAGAAACGAGAACTGAGAGCGGCAGGCATCAAGTAAGAAAAAGTCTGAATTTTAAATGAAAAAAAAAACACCGAAATTAAGTGTTTTTGACAGTGAATCATCAAAAAAGTAGTTGCTAGTTTTTTTTCTGTTCGATGAACCTTATACTTTTTTTTTGTGAAAGGTTTGTACAAATAGTTCAAAAAATTATTGAATGTATACCCGCAAGCAAAAAACGTGCAATGATTATTTGAAGCTATAGTTCCAGTAGTAGTAGAATAGGCTTCAGAGCGATTGCTTGAGGGAATTTCACCCTCTTACAGTCGACAGTTTATCTCAGTTTGTTGTATACATTGCAATTTCCACATCTGCAAAAGAGTTTCCATGTGCATTTTCTTGAAGTACTTCTTATGTATGTAGTCCAGAGTCGCTTTGTTTGTATAAGATTGAACGCTGGGCGCGAATGAGACAGGTGTAGAGATGTATCACTAGTCTGAAAAAGTTGTCTGTTCTTTGCAGTCGACTTTTTCAGGTTTGAAAATCGACCATTGATGATTGTCGGGTGATTTTACTGGCTTCAGGAGACGTTTGATGCATCTCTACATTGTACTGATTTTCGAGCAGGGCTAATAATATTGATATATCGTGCATTTCAATATATAGGTTCAGAGGGAGAAGATTGAGGTCCCGCAGTCTTTCAGTATAACATTTACTTGGCCCAATAATCCATTTTGTTGCTAGATTATGAATCTGTCAAGTTTTTCCATATTTGATCTTCTAGGGGCCATGCTTGTGATCCGTAGGTAACTAGGAGTACAACATACCCAGTATATGTGTTTAGCTTGTTGGCAACAGTACATTTCTCTGTGAGACTAAGACAAAGTTTTAAAATTTGTTTTTGCTCCATTTTAATTTTCGTGGTTTGACTTGTGATTTTTTTTAAGTTCAGTGCATTTCTATGGTCAAAAGGAAAGTAAACTCCACTATCGAACAGCAAACTTGTAAAGGTCCCAAAAAACGGAAATTAATTATCAGATATCCCAGCGAAATAAAAATTCTGCCTATTGATCCAATTTTGTCAAATTGGGTTAACTTTAACAACAAAATGTCCTTGATAAATTGTTCTTCAAATTCAAAGAGTTTTAAGGTCATTTATTTATTTCGAAATTCAAAAGTTGAAGATTTGTGAAAAACGAGTAGTTTTTTTTCAGTTTCATTTAGTTCATTATTCTTTTCCAACTGTTAGTTGGCTATGTTCGTTCCATGAGAGCTTGCAGATGCCATGAGACTCGGGTCTTGCTGGGAATTTAATGAGGCCAGATTTTTGTTCAATAGAGTTTTAAATCACCTTTGAGGCTGAGGAGCGTTGATTTTTTGATGTTGGGTTGTTGACTTTTCACTTTTCTTGTTTGCAGTTTCAAGGTAAGTTTGGTTCATTATGATGGCTTTAAAGCCGTCCACGTACCCAAAGCTACATATCACTTCCATTCGTTCAGGGAGATCATTGATGAGTAGTGGGAAGAGCAATGGTTCCAAGATTGAACCTTGCGGAGCTCTACTAGTGATTTCTCTCAGGGTTGAGCTCAATTCTTCAATCTTAACGCATTGCTTCCTCTTGGTTTGGTATGAGTATATCAGGGATGGAGTTCACCTCGAACACTAAAAGTTTGGACCTTCTTGATCAAAATATCGTGAGGTACAGTATCGAATGCTTTGGCAAATGCGAAGTAAAATGCTGCAAGATCTTGCAGATCCTGTTGATCGTTCAATTCGTATATTCAATCAAGGAAGAAAATCAGTTGAATTTGGCTGATCCTCGTTTCCGTAATATATCTTTCACTTCACTGGGAGTTTGACAAATATGACATTTTCAAGCACTATTGACCAACTGCAAAGTAGACTGATTCGCCTCTAACAACTGTTTTCAGCTGTGTATCCTTCCTTGAACACTGGTGTTACTTGGATAATTTTTCCACAGCTCTGGAAAAATGCCTTTGTTAAGGCAGGTTTGACAGACTAAGATAGGTGATTCGCTTAGTTTTGCCAATATTGTCGTGTCCCTTTGACTTATTGACATTTAGCTGCCACATTATTTCGCTGACTTGACTTTGGTCGACATTAATTCTGGTTAGCTCATTTCGTTCGAATTTTGTTTCAAAATGGTTTTCATTGTGCCAAACACGCTGACGAAGTGGTCATTGAATAGTTCGCATTTTTTGTTTTCATTGGTTGATTCGATGTTTCGTTATTTAACCGTAAGTGGTATTTTTGGTGTTTAATGTATGCATTTAAGATATTTTGTTGATTCTTATTGAAGGTTCTTCCTTCCAAGACTATTTCATACTGCGCTAATTCATCTTCAGATAACTTTCGACAGTCTTTCAAGACCTTGTTTTGGTCTTCTTTTCATTGGTTGATGTTTATTCATTAGGTAGCAAGTAAGTGTCGAGATGCAGGGTTGCCATATTGAGCAATATTCTATCATTTTAAATACGAATTGGTCAGTTTTCTCCCATAGCCATTTGTACCATTGCCTGATCTTTTCGTTCACATAAATAAAGCACGGGATAAATGGTTTCGTTACTATTGAAGAGTTTAGACTATCTCAATCGGCCATTCGAATGCATATCGACGATGTGTGGTTTTTGGTAAATTAGGGCTGCTAAAGGCGGCAATTGTAGTGACAAGCCGTTTGTGGTCAGAGAAGTGACTCGTAAGTTTATCTTGAATATTGTTGTCGATTTGACATTGTGTGACTATTTATGGGTTGTCACATAGCAAGACGTCTAGTTGAGTTTGCTTTTGCGATAGATTTATTTAAATTTTTTACCCAGTAGTTGATTTTCATACAAGTTCAGCGAAGGAGTTCTTCGCATGTGATCTGTTCAAAGTTTGTATCACTAGTGATTTTTGGGTCACAGTTGTCATTATGGCTTGCTAATTTAAATTTTGCCACTTCAGTCATCAAATTTTGATAGCCTTCTATGGTCCACTGGTAAGAACTAGGAGTGGGTGCATTATAGTTAAAGCGTAAAATAATTGCTCGATTTTTGGAATATTTTCCTAATGAGATGATCAGATTTGGGACTTTGAATGGAATGTGTTTTGTGTGTGATCTGATTTTTGATGGCAATGAGTACATCACCGGGTTTTGTTTTTACTATTTTCTGATGTTCTATCGTTTCGACAAACTTGATGGTGTTCTAGGAAAAGCGAGGCAGTTGATACATCTTGAGACAGACAATAGTCTTCTAGTCTGCTACTGCATATGACAATTTCGTTCTTTTGTTTGTCCAGGATACTTTGGGTGTTGAGTGTCAACTTTTTAAATCGGTTGTAGTCTTTAGTTCTTAATAGGGGAAGATAAGGCCGGGACAACAAAGTCCATTTTTTAAGCTGATTTAACAACGGGCAAAGACCGAGACAAAAGGTCCAGTTCTAATGTATAAAATTTAAAGTAAAATAAAGACGTGAAAATGACGTCCAGTTCTTTTTTTGTTTGTGCACAGTTAGACTGGAACAACATAATCCAGTTTTTTAAATCTTTTGCTCAGCCGTCTATTACTTCCTCTACTTACTTCTTGAGATTCTTCTTCTCGTCGTTGTTTTATTTTTTAATTCTCATGGGACTTGTCTAACAACAGTTCTTGAACCGATTTGTCTTGGTTGCTTGCTTTCGGGTGTAGGCTGACACCGGGTTTGCTGATGACGTATTGTCGTAGTTGTTCAGCTAGTTGGATGAGTATCTTCACTGTTCGTCGGGTAAAGGGCATGATGTAGAGAACTTGCACCAATAATGTAAATCAGTGAAATATGAGGCAACCACGGCTACCTTGTAGAAACATAATGAACTGAAACTATGTAATAATAACTATTTAACATATTCTATATTGAACGAGATTCGTTAACTTGTGTGAGGAAAATAAGCGTAGCCACTAGTGCTCATTGCCGTTGTGATGAACAAGGGTTTTGTAATCAGGCATTAGACTTTTTCCCTTTAATTTTTTGTGGTGGCGTACCTCATGCTTGAAGGACCGAATGCTTGAAATTAATTTTAGCTTACTTTCAGCCAATCAGAATTGAGTATTCAAAATCTCAAAGTAAATCGCGAAAATCTCAAATTAAGAAAATAAATCCAGGCCCTTAGTAATAATATTGACCGATTAGATAAAAAGCAGATAAGTTTTCAAGACTGAAAAATTCCTATAATTTTGGCATCATTAATCTTGATGTTTATCCGAATAGTATTGCGGTTGTAACCCGCAATTTTTAATATTTCTGTTTATTTTCCACTGATTTAATACATTTTCTGCTAATATTGACTTCAAATGTGTGAAGGGCATTTAGCCAATAGAAACGCTTAGCGATTTTGATTGGTTGAAATTTTTCAAGCATTCGGTCCTTCAAGCATGAGAACCCTCCCCATTTTTTGTTACAGAAATGACGCCGCTGCTTAGGAATCCAAACGACTGAGTTTCTATTCCGGGCAGAACCAGATTTTTGCTGTGCTCTGAATCAATGGCTGTTTGTCTTGGATTTTGGTTCTAAGTTCAAGTTTGCGTTTAAAGAAATTGGTTTAAATATAACTTTTTTTACCAGATGCTTTCATTTTCGATCCCCGCAGTGGTTTTTTCAAAAATGGTGTATTTTTGTCAAGCATGGTTTTTACTGTACTTTTTGTAGACCTCGAGAATTCAACAGACGAAAGCGTGGTGTAGACTACAACATTGAAATTCCGTTTGAAAAGAAACCGGCGCCTGGATTTTTCGATACAGCCGAAGAGCACGAAAACAAGAAACATTTCGACTTTAATCGGCTTCGACAGAATGCACTGGAGGGAGAAACACGTGACGAGGTGGAGGCGAAAGAGAGAAGAAAAGACAGAGCGAAGATGAAGGCTCTAAAAGAGGATGACTTGCCGGCTGCTATTTTGAAGACGCACGGGTCAGTGATGCCGGAGAAAAAGAGAAGTAAACTGGTGCTTCCGCAGCCACAAGTGACGGACAAAGAGCTGGAACAAGTAGGTTTTCGACTACATAGACTTCGAATACATGTCTAAGATGACTAAAAGTCCAAAAATGACTGTATCTTCGACTACATGTCTAAAATGATGTTTATAAATCACAGATTCAATTTTCCTTAATTAATAGTGGTTTATGTCGAATACATATGAATTTAAAGTACGTGGTTTTGAAATCGGCAACATGTTCCAGCTTGGAGAAATTTTAATCAATTTCTGGCACGCCAGAATGATCTGAGCTGCTGATATTTTCCTTTAGAGATGAATTAATTTTAAGAGTTAACAAATTCAGTATCAAGCTGAACGAAAAATTCAAAGTAGATAGATATACCGATATCCACTTCTAATTAACAGCCCCTGAAAATTCAATCGAAATAGCAGAGGTTAGGCATCCAACTGACTATAGACAGAAAATTTAGGATAAAAAATTGGCTTTAGGAAAAGTATTTTAAATTAAATTTAAAAATCAGTAAAATACACCATAAAACACGTGGAAAATTCTCAATTTGTTTTAATCAAAAAGTCATCATGAAACTGCTGTGAATTCAGTTCGTGTTTAGGTAGTTAAAATGGGCCAAGTTTCGCAGCTGATCAAAGACGAAATGTCATCCGAGGCCGGCGGAAGTGCGACTCCATCTAGTGTTCTGTTGGACAGTTACCACGTGGCAGCCAGACCAGGTCTCCCGAGTAGAACACCGAAGACTCCGGCACCACAGAACACAGTCATGGAGGTGAGAAGATGTACATTTGAAATACACAATTAAAGTTTCAATTATGGAAGCGTTTAAAAGTCATCAGCCTGTTAAGTGTCAATGAACGTAGAGAAGACTTTTAAATAGGTCTTGCTGTTTTTCTTAATTTCAGAAAAAAAGATATTCACATTTAATTTGCTCTTTTGCGGTTTGTTTTTTGAACGAGTCTTTGAAGGTCGGTAATAACTCTTTTAGAGGTCGAGTTAATTTTTTCAAGACTGTTCAATAATTTGTTCATGCTCAATTTTGATATTTTTGCTGTTTGACTCTCGATTTTTTCAAGTTCAGTTCATTGCCTTTGTTATAAGCAAACTCCACTATCGAACAGCAAAAGTGTCAAGGTCAACAAAAACTTGATTGACTGTTAGTTTTGAAAAGTCAATTTGACTTTCAGATTTCTCAGCGGAATCTTTACCTATTGATCCATTTTTCTCAAATTGAGTTAATTTTACCGAATAAGTGTCGATCATCAATTGATCTTCAAATTTGAAAGATGAAATTTTTAAAAAAAAATCTGTTTTTTGTTTCTTTTAGTTCATTGACCCTTTTCCAACTGTCTCTTGGCTTTTTTTTAGCACAGTCTTTCTTGTTGGTATTGTCAGTGATGCGAAGCATAGCTTCGCCTTTGGGTAAAAAATTGTTGTAAAACATGAAAGCGAAAAAAATATCTGGTCAATTATTTTTGATGCCTGAATTTCTGCATGAAGTTATGTTTTGTTGGTCACAAGTTTCAGCTTCTAATTAGAAGTTTTCAATCACACGCTCTTGTTAAGAGTCGATGAACGTACTTCAGACTCTTATATAGGTCGTGATTGTTTTTTTTTTCTTGAAAAATCTTAAACTTGTTCAGGCTCAAATTTGCTTGTTCGGGTTTTGGCTTTTGCTTTCTTTTTAACTGCAGTTCATTGCCTTTCTTTAAAGGAAGGCAAACTCCACTATCGAATAAAGAAAGTGTAAATGTCACAACCAACGTGATGGATTTTGAGCTTCAAAAGGGGAATTAAGCTTTCAGACTTCCCAGCGAAAAAAATGCTTCATAATTGGATTAGTTTTTCAAAAAATGTCAGTCATAAATTGTTCTGGAATTTCAAAGGTCTCCAAGGTCATTTTTTGTTTTCTTAATTGAAGTTCGAAGGTTGATATTTCTGAAAATTATAAGTCAGTTTTTGTTTTCTGTTTACTTGCTTTCTTTGACTCTTTTCCAACTGCCTGTTGGTTTTGTTTTTATTGGAAACATCCCGATTTCAGCATTGCAACATATCTAAAAGTCAAACTTCCATAAAAGGAAATTTCGTTATTTTTGGTGCTTTCTATCTGAAGTACAGTGCGAATAAGTGCTGGTCTTTTTTCAATTGCTGGGTTGAAAGCTATGTCAGATATTTTGCCAAGTTAAGTTCTTTAAGAGTAATGAACGTAGTGAAGACTCTTATATAGGTCTTGCTACTTTTTTTGAAAAAAAACATGCCATTTCGAAGAGCGTAAAGTGATGTTTTTTTTGAAATTCAAAAGATGAGTTTTTTCCAGAAAGTCAGTGTTTTTTATGTTTACTTGCGTTCAATACTCTTTTCCAATCTTATTTTTCGCATGTTCTTACTTTTCGCAATACTTGCGCTGAATCAAGTTATATTTTCCATGACACCGATAAGCAAAGAGATCGAACTGAAAGAGTTACTCAAAGAGTTATGAAAATATTTTTGATGAGGGTTTTCTTACTTTGACAATTTTTGAGCTCGTGGAAATGCGAACGGGGAAATGGCGCGAAAAAACGTGAACGGTTTCTAGTTTGGAAAATAGTTTTGAGACTCATAATCTCCTGGTCGCAGAGCGAATCCGAGACGTTGACGAATTGTTACTAATTCGAGGCTTATTTCTTATTGTACATTATTGAGCTTTTTTGTCGTCTTCTCGCTAGTGTTTGCGAAGCACAACTTCGCCTCTGTCTTCATTTTCGTATCACAAGTGGTGCGAATCTCAGCTTCGCCAGTGTCAAAATCTCTGTACAACGTCAGTCAAAAATTGTAAAATATGAAACTGAGAAATCAATCTTTTTTGGCTAGCTGAATTTCATCATGATTTTTTGTGTTAAACCACACGTTTCGGGTTCTAATCGGAAATTTTGTACTACGCACGCTCCCGTTTGCTATTGGACTATATAATCCTATATTTTCCAGGAAGCGAGGAACCTACTCGCCATGACGCAGCAAGAGACACCCCTTTTAGGAGGAGAGAACTCGGCGATGGTAGGTGGCACTGGCTTCGATGGACTCACTCCCAGAACTCAAGTAGTGGCTACTCCCAATACAGTAATTGCAACTCCTTTTATGGGAACTCCGTCTAATGGAGCAACAGAGGGTAATTATAAACTATTATTTAGAATTTCTGGTTGAAGTGACCTGGCAAATGCTTACAAATTTTTGATCTATGGGTTTATCCTGCATAATTTTTTAATGAAAAATTATGGTAGTGTGGTATGTTGTTTTTCGTGAATCCCTATATTTTTTATCACCGGAATGCAAATAAGTTTATTGGCCCAACCACGTCTTTAGAACATCGAAAAGTGGTCAAAACTAGAAATGGTATATTTAAGTTCAGCTCAGTTAATAGTAAATTCAAATGTCTTTGCATTTCCGGCACACTTGGTCTGGAGGTAAAGAAAGCGCCTTGGACGGCAAAGGTCCTGTGTTCGAATCTGACAGGACCCGTTTTTTCTCAAACGGAAAACATTCCGCGTCAGACAAAACTGTCGCCTTATTATTTGTCTGCTCGTTTTGTCGTCTTAGCTGCCACATTGTTGAATTGTTTTTTAATATTTACATTGTAAGTGCTTTAGGTGTTTTGATTTTTTCTGCTGTTTGTAATTTTCTTAGCCTTGACTTCGTGTATTTTCTCTTTCTTCTGTTTTTTTTGCTAATTTGCTTTTGCTCAGATGATTTCGGCTTAAATTTTATCGGCTTAGTGACTTATTTTTGAGTAGGTTCAATTGATACATATTTTTTGTGCTCCCCTTAATCGCAGAAAATGCTAAAAAGTTATAGTTTTTCATGACAAGTTTCCGGCTTTTGTTTTTTTTGTTCTTTTCTTTCGCTTGATAGGTTTCAGTCTATATTAAATCGGCTCAATGTTCTTACATAGCGTTTTGCGATGAGGAAAAAAAGTTTTTGCGTGTGTTTTGAGTGTAAGAAGGACTAAATAACTTTTCATTAGTCTTATTTTTTATTTTTTTTTTATTTTTTACTGCTTTTCGGCTGAATAGGTTTCGGCCTATATTGTATGGGGTTAGTGGTCTCATATTGTTTCATTTGACGAGCAATCAAAATTTTTTGTGTGAGTTTTGAGGACTAGGGGGACTTTTATAAGTCTTAAATCTTGTTGGTTTTTTTCGGCTTATAGGGTTTATGCAGAGTTATTTTCGGTTTTGTTACCATTTGGTTAATTGTCTTCGATGCTTATTTCACATCCTTTTGTCACGGCATGCTTTTGTGTCAAAACTAGCCGTATTCATTTTAATAGATCTAGTTTTTTTCGATATATTTTTTTCCGACTTAGCGGCTTTCTTGTTTTGTATCGTAAGTGGCGCGAAGCTCAGCTTCGCCTCTGTGTTTATGTTGTCTGTGTCGAGAAAAAGCATTTTTCCGTTTTTCATACTATCTTACACCAAAGAATGAGTGAGAGTGTGAGCTTTCTATCTCATTCTACTGCATCTAGATTATATTCTATTTCAACCTTCTACCGACCACAAAAAATAGTGGATTATGATTCTTTTCGGTTATACCCCCCTAAGTTATGAAAAATTGAAATGAAACTTTTTGTTATATAGTTGGGACACTGTTACTAGGAATTGCGCTATATTATGATTGGACTGGTAAAAAACGAACCGTTTTTACTTAATTTAGCCTCAAACTGACTTTTTCTCCGATTTTCTGAGCATAAATTACATTAAAAGGATGCTAAATACTTTTTTAATTGTCGTTAAGTTCGCATTTTTTGCCAGTTTCTAGCTTGATTTAACTCTCGTGATTTCAGCCCTGCATTTTTAAGAAAAGTCGGTCAAACTAAAAATTTTCATTTTTTATGATGGGGGGGGGATAAACCGAAAAGAGTCTGGATTTTTTTGGGACTTTTTGCTTAAGTTGTCTTCTGTTGCGAATGTCGCATTGCGTTAATCAGCAAAATTACTAGAAAGGCTACTGGTAGCTTTTGCATCGGTGTGTTTTCAGACGTTAGTAATTTTTTCTCAATTGTTGCAGGCAACTTCTCAATCAGATCAACACGTGCAATCGGCCCTGCAGTGGGTCCAGTAATTCCAGCCAGTGTCAGATCAACCCCTCTAAGGGACAATCTGAACATAAATGACCCATCTGGTGGGGGATTTAACGAAGACGACGACGACAGGGGAAGTGTGATGATGGATAATGATGATACTAGGTCACTAGTGTCTGGAACATCATCGGCAATCAACCCTGTCTTACTGAAGCAACAGTTGAGGAGTGATCTTTCAAGTAAGTAATTTGCTATTTTATTCCGCTCTTTCTGATAGTAGAGTTTTCGAAAGACCTTTTTTTAAAGAGGCATGCACTATTCTGTGAAATCAGACATTAAAGGGCGGCATTTCTATCTTAATTGACCTTACCGGTAATACAATGGAAGATTGTGACATTTGTTCTTGTTTTTTTTCTTTTGTGAAAATATTCGTTCTGACTATTATGCTGTTTAAGGTCTTCCACAGCCGAAGAATGATTTTGAAATTGTGCTCCCTGAAGACAAAGAGAGAACCGGCAGCAATGACGATGGAGGTGACAATCTCCCCCCGGGCGAGGAGGCGATGGAAGTAACCAGTGGTGGGGGAGGAGGAAGTAGTATGCAAGTGCCTGATGCGGCTGATTTGGAGGAGTGCGAACGGCTTATGCAGGAAGAAGAAAGTAAGTTGAGATTGCTTGTATATTTTCAGAGTAATTCAATATCTTTATTTTTGCTTTATTGAAAAGTAACATCAGATTGGAAGTGGGTAGATTGATTTATTACCTTGTCAGCGCCAGGTGGTGAAAATGGATGAAACGTTTGTATTTATTGAAGGTTTATTAGCCTTAAATTTGCAGTCCGTAGTTTGATTTTCCGACAAATACTAGCTTTATCAATGTCAAAGAGTCTAAATGTGATATTTATATTATATATTTTACATTATATATTTTATATTATATATTATATATATCAAATAATTTTAAAAATTGAATGTTTTTTTTTTGGTTTCCGTGAGTTCGCTGGCACTTTTCCAGCAATCTATTGGCTATGTTCTAGAATTGCGGATGTTAAACCTTGCCTCAATCTCAGTACAAAGGGATCTTCCGAGGCCATACGAGATCAACCCGGCTATTTTGAGACCAGCCAACGCACAGACCGAAGCCCCATTGACTGAACTGCAGAAGGTACGATCTTAGATTGTCACCATTACCCTAGAAACAGTTCTTATTAACGAAAGTTTTGTTTCTAAGGTTGCTAAGTCATTTAAGGTGTTTATAAGGTTTGTAAGCTATGTTGTTTTCTGGTTGAAATCATAGAAGATTATTAGATTATTTGCTTCTTCTTTTCGACTAGTTTATTTCGAAGAGAATTAGTTTAATGGACAGATCTAAAATAAGTATTTTGCTTAACCGCCGCAAATTTCGAAACTCAATCAAAATGGAAAGGTTGCCAATTTTTTGCAATTTTCTTCAACTTGTGCTAACAGGCTGAGGAGTTGGTCAAGCGTGAGATGCTAGTGATGCAGCACTTCGACTGTGCCAACTTCCCCCCGGATGTCAAGCTCACTAGGATGCCAGATGTGAAGAGAGCTAAACAGGCAACCAGCACGAAACAAGCCAGTAGTTATCTTGAATCGAACTCTTTCACAGAGTTCTCGGAGGAGGAGCTGTCACATGTAAGATGGAATGCCTTTTTGAGTTTAATGGATTAACAGTTATCATGTATACCTCTGTCCTCTATTAGGTGTTAATGAACGTGGTGAACAGATCGTGTTGATTTGTTTCTTTATTAAAGGAAATTTGTTCACGCCAAATTTGATCTATTGCGGCTTGAATTTGATATTAAAGCTCAATTCAAATTCATTTGCTAAAAAGGAATACAAATTGCGGTCCCAGTGAATTCAAATAAAAGATTTCCCAGCAGAATTAAAACAATATCTCTTGATCCAGTTTTATCAAATTGAGTTAGGTTTATTACACTACCAATGAACCTTATTATGCTCAGTTTTCTAACTTCTGTTTTTTTTTGTGTAGGCGCACAGTGTTCTGAAACGGGAGATGGACCATGTGAAGGAGGGAATGGGTCACGGGACTCTCCCTCTAGAAGTTTATTCCCAAGTGTGGGAGGAGTGCTACGAGAAGATCCTGTTTGTGCCCAACTTGAACAAGTACGCACATGGCAAATACCTGTCCAAGAAGGAAAGGCTGGAATATCTCGAGAAACGGCTGGAGGTACAAAGATGTTCTTTTTTTTCTAAAGCAAATTCGATCTATTAAGTTTCATCACTTAGTAACTAGGGGGTTAACATGTTATACTGACTTTTCCATTGATTAAGTGTTAATGAACGTAGTAAAACACTTTTATATGTCCGGTTGATGTTTTCCAGGTAAAATTTGTACGCTTGCGTTTAGCAAGCTTTATCCAATCGGAACAGTTATAGCCGCTTGCTGTGCAAGAAGCACAGCATGTTCCGGCCACTTTCATAAAAAACCTCAAAAAATTGATTGTTTCTGTTTTTCTTCAAATTAATGTCGTTTCTTGTGTGGTGTGATGAGAGAACTATACAAACGCTTTGAAGCATAGTAAATTGGGCAAAGTCGGTTAAACTTGTATCGAAAAATTAAAAAGTTTTTCTTAGTTTTTGCACAGTATTTTATAGTTTGTAAATTCACTGCCCCCTTACTTCGTGATTTAACATGATGTATGTTTTTCCTCTGAAACTCGGAAGTTTTTTTTTGGTCTCCATGAGTTGTTTTTGTTTGCGTTTAAATGGAATCAATTTTTAAGCTATACAATGCAGATAAGGGCAGCAATACTTTTTCACGTTTCAATTTTAAAGCTACGTCTCAATGAGAAATACTGATCTAACGTGGCTTAATGTGTTGTAGCAAAACAGAGCGCACATGGCACGTGACGCGAAAAAGGCGTCCAAATTTGAGAAGAAACTGAAGATACTGTTGGGAGGCTACCAATCGAGAACACTTGGACTGACCAAACAGCTGAACGAACTGCACGACCAACTGCAACAGACACAGACTGAACTGAAGTCGTTTAAAGAGTTGCAGGCGATAGAGTCGGCAGCTATTCCGAGAAGGATTCAAGTGAGTACTTCAAATTTGAAGAATCCAGGTGTTAATAAACGATTTCAGTGGATGTTTCCTTGATTGTCGTGTCGCGTGTTAAGATTCGTGTATACCCTTAACGTGTTAAGATTCGTAGTGGGTTACATACTGTGCTCACTTTGATATAGTTTATCACCCGCTTGTTCTGGTGTAATTTTTGATTGAGTTAAAAGTCATAAATTATACGTTTTGGGGGAAAGTCTTGGGCCCAATTTTTGCTAAGTAAATTGCACTTATAAAGTATCCCGAAATTCTAAATATGTTATGTAATTTTCATCATCATTGTTGGTTTTCTTCCTCTTCTTGGATTCGATGGTATAGCGAGAAAAGCCTAAAGCGGCCAAATTCTCGATATTGATAGATTTGAACGAATATATTCTGTTCTGCGGAGCCTAAAGCTGTCATTGTACTTTTTCGGATTTTCTGAACTAATAATCACGTTGAGTTCTTTTTCGGATTTTCTGAATCACTTCTTAAATTTTGGACAGCCTGCAGGGGCCACTGATTTAAAAAGCCAAATTCTTATAACAGCGAAATAAGTTGAAGACATCGGCAAGTTGATGATAGGGAAGGGAATAACACGAGTAAATTCAATACTGTTTGCAGGCCTTAAAGCTGCTATGCATTTTTTCCGAGCAGCAATAATAAAAGAAAGGGTTGGCCTAAAGTGTCCGAGTAACAGGAAAGTTGGCCAAAAAAAAATCAGGAATGAAGATACTTATAGTGATATATTACAAAAAAGCTTTAATGAAACACAATAACGACTGTTGATATATTCCAATTCTGTTCCTAAATGTTGGATTCCTAACCAAATTAAGATAAATTCCAAGTTAATCAACATGTAAACGTGAGAAATTCAAACTGTTCAGAATTGAGTAAAATAATTTTTCTGTTTTAGTTTCACAAACTTTGTTGAAGTCACTAGTTGCACGGTTACAGTTGCCCGCATAGTTACAGTTTGCTCGGCTACAGTGCCTTGTAGAGATAAGTCACAACATTTCCCGGCCTCCTTGAACAGGTTCAATAAAACGGCTACACGACATGTTTGAGTTATGTCCTGAATGAAGAGAATTCTGTAGTTGGTCAATTTCTGTCCGAATGCAACAGTACAAATCTGTTGACTGGTCGATTGTAGCGTTCTGTGCGGGTTTTGATTTGTGGAACCCGGATGATGCGGTCAGTGCCATCAAAGACTTAAGTGATACGACCCATTGGCCACATCAAAGGGGGGATGTTGTCCTCTTTGACAATAACAATGTCTCCAATGGCGATTTGTCGTGATGGCGATGTCGTCCATTTAACTTTTCGCTGCACAGAAGTCAAGTATTCTTCTTTCCAAATTTGTCGAACTATGTTGTCAATAGCTTCGATTTGTCGACTGAGCGATGTCCTCTGGTTGCGCGTAGAACTCGACATTGCTGTCAATGGTCTTCCGATGGGAAAATGTCCTGGCGTTAAAGCGAGTGCATCGTTGACGTCATCAGATGGCGTTACAAGTGTGGTCTTGAATTGTGGATTGCCTCAATTTAAGTCAGAATTGTCAGGAACTGATGAAGTTGTAGTCGCGTTTTCCCAACTGTTCGGAAGAAAAGTCGTTTCAACGATTTCACTGCCGCTTCTCATAATCCTCCGAAGTGTGGCGCTTTAGGTGGAAAAGTGTACCATGAAACTGAGTTGTCGTTGGTGAAATTGCTGAAGATTTCTTTGAATTTTTTTGCTCATCGTCAGTTTTTGGAATTCAATTTCATCTCGGGAGCCATTAAAAGTCATTGAATTGTCATTGTAAAAAGCTTTCGGTAATCCTCGCGCAAAATCGTTTTACAGCGTCTAAGAAATCGCCTTTGTGAGAGAGTTGACTGTTTCCATTTAAACTGCCCTAGTTGCAATGTAAATGAAGATAGCCACATGTACTTTATTTTCTTGGCTGCTGGTGTCTTTGATGTAAAAAGGTCCACAATAATCGAGTCCTGTGTTGGTGAAAGTAAAAGATAACCACTCTTTCAAGCGGCAAATCTTCCATTTCTGGTTGAAGAAGTCTGGCGTCCTGTCGAATGCAAAGCTTGCAATTATGAATTGCTTGTTTGGCCAATGCGAGGACTGCTGGTATCCATACTGTTTGTCGATGGGCGTAGAGTGTCATCTGAGGACCGCTATGAAACGATCTTTCATGCGCTTCCCTAATGAGCAATTTGTTGCTTGGCGATTTCGTGGCAAGGAGCACCGAAAACTTTTTGTCGATATCATATGGTAAATTGGCGATGCGTCCTCCTACACGAATTACGTTGCTCTCACCGTTGAAAAAGGGTAAAAGGTTCAGAAGGTTGCTGTTCTTTGGAATACATTTTCCTTTCCTGATAAATTGAAACTCGGCTAGATAATGCTGCTGAACCAAGCTGTACAGAGTCGTGCGAGGTTCCTTAACTTCCACGGCTGAAAGTTGTGCAGGTTTAGGCACTTGATGCAGTTCCTCTGAATTGTCCTTCTTTCTCTGATTGATCTTCAATAAGTTCTCATTGTCGTGAGTCGTCAATTTTGCTGTCGTTGTTTTTGCTCCCTGAGTTTCTGCTCGATGGAATAGTTGCCTTCGTGTGATTAGCGATTGCTGCGAAACCTGCAGTTCAGCTTCTTCAAAGCAGCTGCTATCCAAACCCGTACCTCCAATTTCCCTACCTGTACCTTTTTCAGAATGACAATCAGTGGCGCCAGCAGAGTTCGCGTTTGTATCCAAATCAGTACCCATACATGTTCCATCATCTGGTTTTGTCCCTGTACCTTACTAGCGTCCAATTATAATGCGTTACCACTATTCATACCCTTACAATTACCAATAACAACCATTGCACAAATACCTGTCTCTGTACCAAAATTTTCTCGACTTTCTTTATGTTTTTCGATTGAGTATTTTCAATTATTCTCAGTGCCAAAACCTACCCCTGTACCAACACCTGTTTTTGTACCATAAACCTTACCGGGCCTCATCGCTTTCTTCTGTCCGCAAACCTAACCTTTCCCATTACCATCCTGAGTAATAATACCTCCTGTAGCAGTTGTTGCGTAGGCTACATTTTGAACTGCAGCTTGAAAATCCAGCCTGGGATGCGTTCTGCAGTTTTTGACAAATCTCTTGATGTAGCCTAAGATCCTTACAGTTTTCGAAAGCCGTGAAAACCTGGTCAACAGATATAAGACTCTGTTCTCTTTTTCCACTGTCACCATTGTAACACAACCGATGTCTTCCATTGTTCTGCTTGTTTTGTCGAATCCGCTGGGATTGATTCTGCTCTCGGCCAGTTGTCTCATGACTTTGAGAGCCATGTTGGTCCGTTCCACCATAGTTCATGATAGGATAGAGCTGAAGATGGAATTCTCTGAGAAGCACAATCAGCGTTGTTGCCTTTCGTCGGCACAAATTTCCATCTTTCGGCTGGTAGAATTTCTGGATTTTTTGCTACTCGATTAGCAACGGAAATTTTCCACTTGCGAGGAAATTCTCGTAAGCTTGCAATTGTAACTTGAGTCGGTCCTTGCGAAATCATTTGGTATGATAAACTGCTTGTCGCTAATGGCGGCTAGAACTGTTTTCACTAGTTTCCATCCGAGAAGTGCTGCACAAAGTTCCATGCGTGGGACACAAATGCTTTTAATAGGCGCAATTCGTGTTTTTGCAGTGAAAAGTTTGACGTGTGTGGTACCTTCGCTGGTTTCTTGTCGAATATACACAACAGCTGCATATGCTGTAGTCGATGCGTCACAGAAAACATGAAGCTGAAGCTTTTTAGTTGTCTGCGGTAGAAAAACTTGGCGAGACAACTTGATGTCTTCCAGTTCCTGTCGAAGGCGTCCTTAGTGTTCCTGTAGTGTGACTGATATCGTTTGATCCCACGAGATCTTGTTCATCCACATGAGTTGTATGAATGATTTCAGTTGAATCGTCGTAGGCGAAAGCCATCCAAAGGGGTCTGAGATTATTCGTCGTTGGTCACCGGAGTCTGTTCGTTTAATTGAACTGCAATGCTAAAGTGATCTGACACTGGGTTCCATTTGATTCCAAGTGTTCTGATGTCATACTCGTCACTTTTGATTATCATTTCGTCTGCTGCTTCTCGATAGTGCACTGGGAGTCGTTCTACTAGCTTCGTGTCGTTTGATGTCCATTTGCGAATTTAAAATCCAGCTTTACAAGTGTATTGATGAATCTGTCCTGTAGTTGAGTTGCTGATTCAGTATCTGAAGATCCTGATAGGAGGTCGTCTACGTACATGTCGTTGAGTGTTGCTATCCTAATTGAGTCGTCATCACTTTCTTCAGCAAACACTTGAAGAGATCTTATCGAATGAAAGGCTGAAGAAGCAATTCCGTACGTAACTCTGGTCATTCGGTAGTGCATAAACTCTGTCGAATTTTGATGTTTCCTCAAGATTCGATGATAACCTCTATCTTCTTCCAACTCCACCTGGCGGTACGTTTTCGCAATGTTGGCTGAAAGTGGTACCGGATGCATTGGAAAGCGAATGAAAATGCCGAAGAGGTCTTTCTGAACTGTAGGTCCAAGCATCAGTTTGTCGTTGAGTGATGTTACAGATGTCGTCTTTGCTAAAGCGTCGAAAACCACTCGAAGTTTTGTTGTCGTGCTTGAATCCTTGAAAACGCAACGATGAGGCATGTACAAACAGTTATAATGCGGTCGCATCAACTCGTTGTCTGGAACTTCCTCAATATGGCCAAGGTTACTAAACTCGTTGATGAACTTATTGTACTTCTTGTAGAGCTCAGTGTTCCTTTCCAAACAAAAGAGTAAACTACGTAGTCTTCTGCGAGCCTGCTGTAGTGAGTCCCCAAGTAGTCCAACTTCTTCTTTGAATGGCAGTTCTACCACAAATCTTCCATCTGGCCTGCGTTCAGTTGTTGCTTCGATGTGTTCCTCACATTTGAGCTCCTCTGGTATCCACAGTTTATTTTTCTAGAATTTCTTCGATTTGCCAAAAACGTGGTAAATTTGTATTGCTATCGTCGCTGACAAGAAACGTCTGTTGTAGTGAAGTAAGTTCATTGTTGCTGTTTTGTTGTCCAATTACAAGTCAGCCAAACAGTGCGAGTCGGTAATAAATTGAACCTGTCTGTTGCTTGATTCTGTTGTTTCCAATCATCATATCCTCGTAGTGTACAGCTCCAATGGTCATGTCAATTTCCTGTGGATCGTTGAATCCGGGATCGGCCAATTGTAATTCCTTCACTGTTTTCCAATTGTCGATGTTGATTCGTTTCGAAGGCAAGTTGTTGGTTAGCTTCTGAAGAATTGATGCTGTCATTGAGATTGGTTCATTGTCTGAGGGTCGGATGAGTTGAACTTGTCCATCGTCGTCGCATACTTTATTTCCTCCAACTCCGCAAATCCTTCTTGTCTGCTTCTGTCTGCGTATCTGTAAACGTTGAACAGCTGCTTCTGTTATCAGATTTTTCTGTGATGTTGAATCCAGTACTATCCGAACATGAAATAATTCTCCATTGATCTCGAGTGGAATGATGGCAGTTTCTAGATGTACTTCTTCCTGAGATTTTTCATGAGTTGCTGCTCCGGTTAGCTTTTTATCATCTGTCTTCACTTTTGCTGATGTCTGCTGTGTTGTGCTTCTCTCTATATTCTTTGCATCGAGATCCAGAACAATCCTCACTTCGATGTCCAGGTAGAAAACAGTTGAAGCACAGCTGTTTCACTCTGATCAGTTAAGATCTGTCTTTGATTGACAGGTTTATGAAGATGTCGCATCTGTAGATCCGATGATTTTTTCCACAACATTCGCTTTCGTCCTTGTCTGATGTAGCTAGATTTGTCTGAAGAGTCTTTGGTGTCATGTTACCTTCTTTCCTGTAGGCTGTTGGTTACCAATCGATGTCGATCTTAAAGATGTTGCAAGAGCTTGGCATCTTTCTTCGAGATAATTCTTGAGCTGGTCGTACCGCTGAGGTTCTCTTCCTGGTGTAGAATTTTCCCAAGATTTCCGTGTTTCAATCGGAAGTCGTTCCATCAGAAGGTAAACAAAGAAATTATCCTGTTGATCCACTGGTTTTCCATGATTAAGCAAAGCGAGTCGGTGTTCCTCTGTTGTTTCCATGGGAGTTCATAGATCTTTGGAGTTTTTTGTTGTCAATGAACGCTGCTTGAAGATTTCGTGCAAATGCGATAGCAAAATCAAACGTTTGCGGTCGTATCGGTTCTCCAGAATGTCAATGGCGATGTCAAAATTGTCATCTGTAATCATTATGGAATGTAGCAGTTTGTCCGCGTCTCCAGTCAGAGAAGATTCCAAGTACTGTAGCGTTTGGCTCTTCGTCAGTCTCGTGTTGTCAATCACAGCTCCTTGAACCAGTCGAAGAACGATTTCCATTCCATGTATCCTCCAGAGAAAATACGAAAATTTAGTTTCGGTAAGCTGACAATATCATCTGCTGATCGAGTGTCACTTGTAGAAGATCGTGTCGGTGTTTTGAGCCTTTGAAGAAACTTGAATTTGATGAACGTACTGTCCATATTTATCGTCCGAATCTTTCGCTTCTTGGAACTCATCGTCTAATGGCTCCTCATCTGTGATCAGTTCCTGTATCTTGCTATTGGAGTCTGAGAGCTTGTCCTGTTTCTTGCAGATGTTGATTTCCAGTTGCTCAAGTCTTGCTTCTCCTGTTTCATCAAGAGATCCGCGATTTTGAATGATCTTGTTTGCTTCATTGTATTATCTGGTTACTACGCGTCGATGAGATGCTCTAGAGCATTTAAGTTGCTCCAAATTTTCTCTCATGTCAATTTGGCTGTGGATGTTTCACTCGTGGTTTTGCTATTTCTATTTGTCAATGGGATTGTTGAAAACTTTGATTGTTGAAGTTATCGTTCTGTGGGGGAGTCGAAATGACAAATCTGTGGTGAAATGCCAGATGAAGTAATTGGTCGTTGATGCCGACTGTTTCCAACCCGAGAAGTATTTTGGTGGGAGACACTCCCCGTAAAAGCAAAAGGCAAGAACAAAAGCCCTCACTGGGGCAGAAACCAACCCAAAACACCAAAAATTTACTAAAAAATGAAAGAAGCATAGCGTCGCGCGGAATCACTGAAGTAAAGCGTCAATTTATCGGCTGTACTCAGTACTTTTAAAAAAAAGTCTAGTACCGATTCTTCGGACAACTATTTATTCATTTGTCCGGATAGTTTGAAACCGCACTGAATTATCATCCAATGATTGTTTTGATTTTTTTCTGGGAAAAATATCCTGCGTTGTATCTTTAGAATGCCCTTATTAGTTTTTTAAGGCTGATCAGTTTCTAATGGGAGCATCTCGTATGCTTAAAAGTGTAGTCAAATCACATGACTGTTTGACAAGCTTCCGATTTAATTATTTAAGTTATAGGATAAATAACTATAATTTTGTTTAAACAGTTATAAATTTATAAATTTTGCTTGAGATTAAAGCTGCATTTTAGGCTCAAGTTTAATAGGTGGGCTACTGAAAGGCAACGATGATCAATGCTTGTATTAATTTTGATACTAGGTTGACCAACAAAGGAATAAAAATCTGCTTTGTGTTTTGTGAATGTTTTTGGCTTTTGATGCAACTTTTTTTAGGTACCCAACAAGCTAAACTTGATACTGGTCGGTCTGGAATGAAAAAATGAAATGTTCATGTTATTTTATTCGCAAGTTTTAATGCATCTTTTGTTTAGACAATAAGTGAAGAATTGGACCGACAGAAAGAGCGAGAAGCCATTCTGCAGCAGAAATACTCTGATTTAGCTCTACAGAAAGACGTTTTGACCTCTAAATTGACAACATACTCGAAAAACCCAGAAACTCAATTAACTGTCGACACAACAACATCGAATGATTTAATACAAACTGCAAACTAGATCTGTGTACTTTTTCCGCAAAATTGCTGTCCTTTTCATGATCCATTTTCTTAAGCTGATAATTCGTTTTCTTCCTATTTTCATAGTTGAATTGAAAGTTTGCATTTTGGGTAAGTTTGTACACTTAAGCGATCAGGCACAAACGTTGTAATACTCATCATTATTTCTTAGGCAGAGAAAATGTTTGAAATCTTGTTTCGCAGATGTTTATTTTACAATCAGAAATGAAGATCAAAAAAGGGAACGAGAGAGTGCAAAACCATACAGTGATGGGCCGTTTCTGAGAGTTGAGTTATTTTTTGGTTCATAAGGCATGCTTGGCAAACCAGGTTATTGAAGCATTATCCTCAACGGCGTTTTTTGTCTATTTTTTCTTGAAAAAGAAAATAAACAGCAGCTCTTTCGACTGGAGTTGTGGATCTGATGCGAAAAATTAACTCACGTTTTCTCTTGAAATAGTTTCAGCAATTGCAAGTTCAATGAATTAACATTTTCTTTAAATTTAAATGAGTGTAAGTTAGGAATGTGGATAAACCCGCCAAACTAAGCATTGTATGTGAATCATCTTAGAGTAAAATTACTAAGCGCAATGAAAAAAGTGAAGACGTTTGTTTAGGTTTTGTGTTTTACTTTTTCAGGAAAAAGTTTTCACGATCAATTATTTTTCGCAGTTTGACTTTTGAACTCTTTTTGAGCTCATTTGAAAATCAGTTATAAGATGTTTGGCTAATGATGGCTTATAGCTGAAAGCTTGAGCAGCCGATGGGTTTACCTAATTTGCTGTGTCAAAAGGCAAATTTAAGCAATCCAGAACATTTTGGGGAACCCGATTAATCGATTGTACAAATATTCATACATGCGAGAAGGGGAATGGGTTGTCGCATACTCATAATTGGAGCTGTTTTCGGAATCCAGCAACAAATGACTCATAAGAATTACTTCAAGCATCAACATCTTTAATACTTAATTAGTTGTGGGTCAATTGGGTTGAAAATTGCAGCAACAGCGATACTAAACCAATGAATTGTAGCTAAGAAAAAAACGGAAAACAAACAATGGACTTAACGAATTTTTATTGTTTTAATGAATTCTCAAATATATATCATTAACTTCGCAGCTCAATCTGGTTGTGATCTCGAACTAAATTTTAAATTTAAGTTCACAGTAGAGATGGAAGATAAAAACTCAACAAAAGCTGAGATTGTCTGGCGTTTTTCTCATATCCGGAAAATTGGAGTTTTTCTCATTGGAGAATAGAACTTCTGTAGCAGGAGTATGCAAATCAGCGTTGAAGATAATTTGGATTGTTAAAGATTAACCTGTAGGATAGACTGTAATGATACAGATCAGCGTTTAAGATAAATTGGAGTGATACAAGTCTAGGTTTCAGTTAAATGAGGTTGATACAAAACTGCATTCAAGATAAATTGGAGTGATACGATCCAGGGGCGGATTTAGGGGGGGGGGGCGTCCGCCCCCCCTCTGGGATTTGACCCCCTGCCGACCCAAAGGGTCCCCCCGTTGATACTTTTTCAGAAATCCATTTTAGGCCGACCGACCCTAAAATTTTTCTAAAGGCGCCTTCGGCGCCAATATATGCTATTTTTTAGGGGGAGCGCGCGCCAAAAAAACGCATTTTTTTTGTCAAAATTTTTCAAAAAGTGCCCAAAAACGGCTTTTTTGACTCTTTTTTCAAAAACTTGCCTGCGGCGCAGAAAATGTAGCCAACCAAAATAGGGGCAAAACAGTGCTTTGGGAGAGCGCGAAAAATAAAAATCAATTTGGTCGACCTAAAAAAAAAAAAGTCGTCAAAATTTTGGAAAATTTTTTGAAAATCCGCCCCCCCCCCCTCTCGAGAAAATCCTAGATCCGCCCCTGATACGATCCGTATTTTATTTTAAAAAATGTCAATTTTGATGTTTAATCCAGACTGGTATCTCTCCAGTTTATCTTGATTGCAGTTTTGCATCAATCTCATTTTAATAGTAGACTTGTATTACTAGGTTTTTGAACGCTGATTTGTATACTCCAGCTACAGAAGTTCTATTCCATTAGGAATTCGAAGTCATTCAAAAATGGCTCTTTTCCACTCCCCCCCCCCCCTTCAAATTAATTTTTGAAAACCTTATTTAACATTGTCATAATGCAATGAAAATTGGCATGGTGAACAAATTGACAATTATGAACAGATTTGTTCTTCATACATTACAGCGTAACATCACGCATTTAGCCGTAATTACAATTAAAACAAACATAAAACTCGGTATTTTGAAAGGTGGGGGGGGGAGTGGAAAAGTGCCTCAAAAATATATAATTCCTTTTTCCCCCAATGCTGAGAAATTCCGTGAAAACCAATTTTTTCCCTCGATTTTTGCAAACCATTGTGAACGTAAATTTGTTTGAGGATCTATAAATGTAGTTCAAACTTTTTTATAGGTCGTTATATTCATTTTAAAAAGTTCGACCAAGTACAAAAATAGCATTCAGACATATAAGAACTCGTGCAAAATTTGCCTTCGAATCAAGCTCAGTTGTTAAGCAGGAAAATTTTTCACTCCAGTTACGAAAACGGAAATGGCTCAAAAAAAAAACAAGATCAATTTTGAGCTTCGCGAGTTGAATATAAATTTAAAATTTTCCAGCGCAACCAAAATGGAAATATTTTTTTTTTTTTAAATCAAATTTTTTCAATCATTTTAAATTTTTTCTTGGTTGTAGTTGTTGGAGCATGTTTTGATTCGATTATACATACTAAATTTTTCAAATTTCGATAAAATTTTGAGCTGGTATCTCCAAAATACCAAATTAAGCAAATTTCTTGATGCGTATTCCAAATATTATAAAGCAAGTAATTGAGCTCCGTAAATCTCAGCGAGAGTAAATTTTGGTGGAGAAATTGGCAAATTTAGGTTTTTGGCATAAAATTTTTAACAGACCTCAATTTTTTTACATAAAAGTTTTTGATTCAGTAAAGGTTTTCTGGATAACTATTTTTTTATCTAGTCAGATGAAGCTCTGCTGTAACATTTTGATAATCAATTCTGATATGAAATTTTTTTTAGAAAAATGCATTCAATGAAACGCGGCAAAGAAATTCGTGGACAAGATGAATCGAACAGTTTCGGAAATATTCTGGTCAGAAAACACACGCGGAGAAGATGGCTGTGCAAGAACAGATAGCATGATAAAATAACTTGTGAGAACGAACCTGACGCTCATTTGGCAACTGCTGAAATCATCATGGCGCCCATGTTTTAACCCGAACTTAATTTTTTGAGCCACAACGTTCGTCAAAAGAGAACCTAATGCTAAATGCAATCCGTGCGACCTAAACACCATGGAAAATTTGATGACACTAGCTTTTAGAATCAAACAAGAGAAAAATGCCGAGTTTGGTCGGGGAGCGGAAAAGGGAGTGGAATCTGGTAGCTGTCTGGCAAAATACTGTGGCTTAAAAGGCCATATTTATAGCGGTCTCGATTGTGTGAAGACGTTGACAAAGCAACGTAAACAATTGACGATTTTGTTCAGAAACATTACGATTTTAAACCAAAACGGAAAAGGAGCTACTAGCAGACTCTCACTGAGAAACAAGTGAATCTAGTGACCGGCAATAGGAATCTACAGAAATTTTGGCTCTTTAGGTTCACTAAACAACCTAGGGCAGAGATATGAGGTTGTAATAATTATCAGTGTAGAGGACTTTCTGGGTGTGATGCCTAACGAGACAATATATATTGGAATATAGAGCGCAGCGATTGAGATGAAAATGAAGCTCAGGCTAAGTGAGACATACCATAGGCCAGCGAGCGTACGATATCTATTGAATCGAGCTTCTTTTCCCTATTTAACAGTCGCTACCTAGTGCAGTCGATGCGAAAGGCCTTCGTACTTTTTTTTATCAAACCTTCTCTGTACCGAAGTGTGAGACTTGCTAGATATTCTAGAGATCTTACGAGTTGCTCTGTAAGATGTTTACCGCAGTTCCTGAAGAAACCATGAGTGAGCTGGAATCGACACATGAAAACTTCGGTGATTTTGAAAAAAAGCTAAAAGGATTAATAGCGACAGATTACAATGCAGTTGACAAAATTGACGTAGTCCACTGAGTGATGGTTGAAGTCGAACCGCTGCTGAACGTGACATGAAATCGTAACCGGAGGAGAATCATGTTAAGCTACAGTGGTTTTTCTTGCCGATGTCTGTGGTAGACATGGTGATTCCCGATGCTCACCATGGGGTTTACATCGCAATCAGTAAGGAGCATAGTACTTGAAGTGTTTATGGCGATTAGATGGCTGGATGCTCATACAAGGGATGATAGCAGGCAAAAGCGCAAGGGAAATTGGAAAAAGTAAACTCTGGAAGATAAAGTTCTGTTCGTGACAAAGTGTAAGATACTGAACATTCCAATGAAAGTGAAGAAATCATATGCTAGTGCAAACTGATGCCGTGGCTTCAAGCCCATATGACTGCTTGAAAGTATCATAATGCTAGGAACTTATATTGAAACACATCACGATGTACAACTCGTTTCAGCTGGACATAAGCTCGGAAGCCATCGAGCGAGTTTTCATAACTCCCTTGAATACAGTCACAACAGCAGTGAAAAGGACCTCAAAGACAATTGACAGTGACGAGCTAGTGGAAGAAATATTATTGAAGACGAGTTGAAGAGAAATGTGGCATAATAGCTTTTGCAGAAAGACAGAACCGACAGTGATCCCAATGCCCTGTCCGGTTAACTGCAACTGGGTGGCGGGATTTGGGGTTAAACTTTAGTACTTTTGTAAATATGGGGGTGGGCGTAGGCATATATATAGGGGAGTGGGGGTATGGTTTGGTTAATGTGGATGGGGGGCAAATTGGTGGGGAGGAGGGGTGAGGGTCAATTCGAAATTCGAGTAGGTTTAGGTTGCTAGTAGGCCGTCAGTAACGCAGAAATGGGCTCTTTTTCGTTTTCCCCCCCCCCCCCACCTCACATAAGCGTCAATTTTATGGTGTAATGAGGGGTTTTACAAGGTTAATTATGACGAACAAAAATGATTGTCATAGCCTAATTAGTTCGCATGCTAATTTTTGTAACATTCGGATAAAGTGAACAAAACTTCACT